GCTATGGAAGAGAGATGTATCCCAGGCTTTCCGCAGGGTGCCCATCAAGGCAGATCAACTTGAGTTTGCGTGGGGAGTGTGGGCACACCAAGGCGTGCTCTGGGTGGCTCAGCACCTCGCAACCCAGTTTGGCACGATCGGTGCAGTGTATTCCTGGCACCGGGTGGGCTACCTGTTGAAGCTCCTAATTGCGCGCCTCTTCCTCGTTCCCGCTAGCAGGTATGTGGATGACTTCTTCGGGGCAAACAGAGCTGGGGTGGCGCTCACGGGTGGTGTCGTTCTCTCCATTCTGGCATCCTTGCTTGGGTTTCCATGCGATGAAGGAAAAGACTCAGACCATTCAACCGCAATGACGGTCCTGGGAGCTTTGTGCACGCTGTCCTTTGCTGACAGAGTGTTGTTCACGCGAGTGGATTTGGAGAAAGCTGCCAAGTATCAACGTCAATTACGTGAGATGTTGACGACCCAAGTGTGTACCCCCGGAGACGCATCAAAGCTGGCGGGCAGGCTTAGCTTCTCCGTGAGCGTGAGTGGGAACCGCGTGGGCAGGGCCTACATCAAGCCATTCTTCGCACAGGCGAATGCTCCGCTGCCACGAAATCAGGTATCGCCCCGAATGGCGCAGTCAGCTGATTGGTTCCTCCAATATTTAGAAAACTCGCCAGCCTCAGCGAGAAGCAGCTGCAAGGGTCGCCCTCAGTGCGTGTCTTGGTCAGATGCGGCTGGGCCGAGTAGATGGGTGGCTGCCATAGTTTCAGTCGAAGGAGCCTATCTATGGACACGGATGCAAACGCCTCCGGACGTGTGGACAGTTTTGCTCGACAGAGGGGACAACCAAATAGGTTTCCAGGAGCTGTTGGGTGTCCTGCATGTTTGGGGCACGTTTTCTTCCCTGCTGGCTGAGTCCTGCTGGGTTGCATTCGTTGACAACAATTCTGTACTACATGCATTAATGAATGGTGGTGGGGGGGGCCCAGAGGCTTATGCGTGCATAGGTCGTCTGTGGCTTGACCTTGCTGAAGCACGTGTCGATTTGCATCTGGGTCGGGTCGAGTCTGCGTCCAATCCAGCGGACGGGCCAACTCGGGATAGATTCGAAGTGCTTCAGCGTATGAA